GGTGGCCACCGACAGAACTAGAGGTAATGGCCACAAACTGAAACACCAAAAGTTCCACAGGAACTTAAGGAAAAATTTCTTAACAGTGAGGGTGACAGAGCACTGGAACAGGCTGCCCAGAGAGGTTGTGGAGTCTCCTTCTCTGGAGATCTTCAAAACCCGCTTGGATGCAGTCCTGTGCCACGTGCTCTAGGTGTCCCTGCGTATGCAGGGGGGTTGGACTAGATGATCTCTAGAGGTCCCTTCCAACCCTAAGCATTCTATGATTCTATGATTCTATGATATTATCCACTTCAAATTATTTTTTTATGAAGGTTTTGTGTAATTAACTATATCCAATTAGAAAGTTTGTCAGCACTGAAAATATGATTTTTAATTTAAAAAGGCTACAAGTGCTACAAAAATTCTAATGTTACTCTATCTTATGCCAAACTAAAAATGGCAAATTCTTAAAACTGAAATTATTAAGTATTTCACATCACAGATATGTATTATACGAATACAAACAAGCACGTTTGCATAAAGGACACAAGCCTTTATCGGAATGGATAGAGCTACAACAGATCATGAAGTTTCATGAATATATGTTAAAGAGAGAAATACATTTTCTGAAAAAATCAGAAACAAAAGCACAGTCACAGCAGAAACGCCACTCTTTTTGGTACTATCTGTTTACCTGTTTGCTAAGTCAACATTGAGAAGGGAAGAGGTAGATAGTTTCCATAGCACTATAACAGCTTTCTTTGTGATATGTAGTCTGCAAATAAATTCAAACTGTCATGTTCATGCATCTTATCACAAGAGATAAGAATGTAAGTGGTGCAATGGTGCAATATTAAGAGGGTTATTTTCATGTCCCATACTTTCTTATGCTCAGCCAATATGAACAAAAGTCTTAAAAAATACACTGAAATCCTGAAAATAGACAATCAGAATAACTAAATTAGGACAGGAGGTGGACTACACATGTCTCAAGTACATATCAGGGAAAATTAATCTGTGGAAACTCTCCTGGAAAATCTGGATTTACTGATGGAGAACACAGAAGCAACAGACACACAAAAATACTGCAGGATGACAATAAGAAATTTTGTGGAAAGTAGTTAATCAAAATTTCTTAGCAATCTTTCATTTCGCCACTTCAGGATTTTAAACAAACTGAAATGGCATTAGGGATACTGAAGCACTGAGTATTATAGAGGATAGACTACACACATCTACAGATATAGAGAGAGCTGGATATTTTCCAGACTCCAGTGAAAAACATTAATACATTCTGAGCTAGTCTCAATGTGGGCATACAGGTAAAACCATCAGTTGAATATAGAATTGATCATTTTAAGTGTTTGCTGAATTATTTAAGACAAACTAGCCTTCATCAGGCCTCACTCTAATCTTCAATTTACTCTAGTGAAATCCTCTCCTTTGGTATGAACTCATTAAAAACACATCCATCAATGAACAAGCTGTGAAATCATGTGAGGATAGCTTGCCAAATTCTATTCAGGTTAGCTACCACTCTACTTCATAACAAGGTCTGGGCATTAATTATTTCTGAAAGAATATTCCATAATTCCCTGGTTTTCACTTTGAGTAAATAAAAGTACAGTGGAAAGGAGCATTTCTCTTTCTTTGCCCAGAAAATATGGGAAGATAGTTGTGGGATTTCTAAATGTCACAGGTTTTAAGATAGGAAATAAAGCAAGACTCTCACATAGGGCTCTTGAGACACTCTTCTTGGACATGGGCTGCTGTACAGTTGCCTACACCAAGGTCAACAATCCACTAGAAACATTGTAACAAATATTAATATTTTTAACCACAAAATATTTTAGAACGGAAGACAGTATTTTGAATTCAGAAATTGATTTTTTGGGAGTTTAAACCTATGCTAATAAATTAAATCTCTGTCTTTAATGATTACAGGCACAGAACAGTCCGCATCCTTCACCATAGAATTGAGCTCCCTCCACATGGCGTGACCAAATTAAAATTACTATTACAAATAGTTCATGGTGTAACAGTTGTTAGTATTGCTGGGCAGTTCGCATGCACAGACTGTACACCTGACCATTAGCAATATTAAGTAACTTAGGCAAAATAAACTTTTGACTTTATTGTGTGGGCAAGGGCAACTCCTCATTGGCACCTGGAAGAGGTGGATTGGTGCTGCCTGTAGGCACTTTTCTAACTAGAGTTTCTGGGATTTTTCTGGTTGTTTGGATGGTGGGATTTTTCTGTTATTAGTTTTTTTTTTTTTTTTTTTTTTGCAGCCACAGGAAAACCTAACCTACCAGAACACACAACTCTTCACAGTAAGCCAACTATATGGCAAGTATTTTGGCAGCCATCTATACAAAATGAAAGAGCTAACCGAGAGGTGACAGCGCCCTGCAACAGGCTGTCCAGAGAGGTTGTGGAGTCCCCTTCTCTGGAGATCTTCCAAACCCGCCTGGATGCCACTCTGGACTAGAGGATCTCTAGAGGTCCCTTCCAACCCCAGCCATTCTGTGATGTGAGACAACACCTTGCCTTGCACCTACACACTCAAGAGACCCTGGAGACGTCTGGTTTGAAGGCACAGGGATGCCTGCTAGATACTCGAGGCCTGAAAAGCTAGAACCAACGTAATTGTAACACAGCTTCCCTGTCACCTGCCTCTCCATCTCTTCCATCAGGAGAAAGGGAGATGTGCTTTGCAACCATTAGAGCTTGTTTTAATAAACAATTAATGATAAACCTCAGCAAGCACAAAACTGTTCAGTCTGGCTGGGTCCTCAGCCCATGAGAACTGGCTCATGTTAATATCCCAAATATGCCAGGAATTGTTTGGGAAACTGCAAATCTGCAAGGCCAGAAGCATGACAGACTCTATTCTAGCAAATTAGCATCGAAGACAATTAGCATTGAAGACAGTGGAGTTTCAATGCCCAGAAACATTCGCTGGTACTGTTTAGTTGATTAAAATACATATAGTCTTAAAATGTCATCTGTCAAAAATAATGAGTTTGTTTTCAAAATACTGAATCAAAAGTAATATATTAAAAAAAAAAGATGAGAAATGACCCTGGATGGATTTGGTCACTATTATACCCTGTATAATTTTAGGGAGAAGAAAAAAAAAAAAAAAGTCTGCATATGCAAACCTTCACTTACAGATCAAACCAAATAAGAGTTCATGATCTCATACAGAGAAAAAAAAATTATTAAAACCTGTATGAATACTCTGAATCATTAACATCAGCAAGCTATTTTAATGAACCGTTATTTTGCTTCCTCTCAAACAAAAATACATTGAAGAGCAAGAGAAAAAAGAAATCTATCCAACATTTGCCACGAGTATTCTAGCATAAAACAGCAACGAAGATGAATCTACTCAGTCTGTGTCATTCCAGAATCTTTTCCCTCATTTAAACAATAACTTGTTGGCCATGGAAGATGAGGTAAGCATAATTCAAAAAATAAAATATAATGCTGTGCTACCAAATCTTTCTTCTATTTAATCCCCTAAAGAAAAAAAAAAAGAGGTGGGAGAAAGCTCACCATTTGAAATAACTTTTCAGGTGGCTTATCTGGTAAAAGGAGATCAGATAATCATGCTGTAACCTAGGCAATGGCCAAGAATTGCAATCTGGTATCATAAGTGCACAGCATTTATTTTCATCACAAAGTTGTTTATATGTATTTAAGTAGTGATATCACAGTAATTGCAATGTTTATATGCCAGAAGCTATCCAAAACAGATCAGTGTATATAGAGAATGATTAAAAAAAAAAAAAGGCAAGGAAACAACCTTCAGAGGTCACTCACTCCATTTTATTCCCCTATGAGTGAAGCAACTGTATCACACAAAAGGATATTAGCACCATCTACTCACAAAAAAAAACCCTGATTATGAAGGCTCATAACATCCCCTAGTCAATCTAGTCTATTGTTATTTTCTCTATTAAAAAAAATCCCATTATCTAACCTGTATCTTTGCTTTTTTTTTTTTTTTTTTTTTGTAGATAATAGAAGCCTATTACATGCTGTTGTATCAACCATCAGTATGCAGGACAAATTACTCTCTTCATCTTTTCAGTTTTCTTGCACATGTTTTGAGAGAAAAGCCTGTCTTGCTCTTAAGTTGAACAACCGTAATTATTTCCGAGCATAGACAGCTGGTCAGCAGAAGCCCCTTCATCCTAACTCCATGGCAGTGGGGTCACAGCACATCCTATACAGAATTACTTTTCTCATTGGCCCCCTAGTGGGCTAAAATGTTAAGTCCTAGAGCAAACTGATATTCGTTTTTCCAATTAGAGAAAGAACTAATTAAAAATATATAAATAAATAAATAAACCCAAAACACCACACAACACACACACTGTCAATAGTCGCCTGCTGAGATGATCTAGCTGAAATCCCTTTCTTCTCAGATGGGTCTCACATTATCACTGTACAGTTATATGACTCATTTTTACAAGCACAGTATTTATTATTGACAGGATTTATAGAACTTATCACTCAATATCCTGTCATAATCAAGTAAACCTCTAAGAAAATATGGAGGATAAGTCAAATTTTGGAAAAAGTTACTTTGAGAAAATCAAGTGCAAAATATGAACTAGTGCAAAACTAATTACAAGTGAATATTTAAATTTTTGCAAGCACAAGCAGGCTTCATCAAGAATTTCAACAACAGATGTAACATTCAAAACAATTTAAGATAGTATTATGAAGAGAGGGTAAAGCACTCAATAAAACAAACAGTTTTAACATGGTTTTCATAAATACTGCAAAGATGCATGAAAACAAACAACTCCAAAAGCTTAAAAATAATAGGTGATAACATCTAAGCTCTGATACAGCATCCTGCAATAAGTGAATGAAAGAACATACAGCAAAACAAACCATTTTATCTAAAGAAAACCTAATGTCTGGAAGGGAAGATAAGGGTAATAAAGGATTTATTTTATACTTACTGTTGTATGAACAGAAAACATAAAAGTGTGAAATGACTTAAAAAGAGAAAGATAAGTGCAGAAACCACAAAAGCTGCCCATAGAGTCACCAAAAACAGAAGCCAAAAAGAAACAAACAAACATACAAAAAACATACTCTCCTGGAAGGACCCCGTACTGTTTCAGAGTCGCGTTCTCTATCTCCTTAAGTCAACAACAATAGTTTATTCACTTGGTTGAAGTAAAACATACAACACTAAGAGCCACAGCATGACAGTATCTTAGTAACCATCTAGCAATTTGAGAGCAACAGGTCTTGACTAAGAATCCAAAGTCAGAAGGATAAAAGAGGGTTTACATTATCAAAACTATATTGTTGCACAAGTGGTAACCATCAGTTTATTCTCTACTTAGGGGTTCCTTTAGGGGCCAAATAGTTTAGCTTTTGCCTTAAGACGTGTTCTGTGCTCTAAAGCACATTCACACAGGATCTCTGAATTCTTTGAAATACCGTAATTAAAAAGAAACTCTTCAGGTAAAAGGTAGACCTGAAAGCCTTGTACTGCATCTTTTATTCAGTTTGATTCTTCTCATTTAGGTAAGTATAAAGAGGCCACTAAGTCACATTTTTATGAAGAAAAACAAACAAACAAACAAAGATCTATACTGAAGAAGATTAATATTTGTGCTCACAACAGTTCTTAAAAATGGCAAAGTTCTCAGTCTGAAACATACAGAAATACAGAAAAGATACAAATGAGTCTGATAGAAATTCAAGAACCTTGGTGATGAAAGATTCTAGAAATATTTAGGATTGGGAAATTGGGAACTTGCATTCTTCTCTCAGTATGAAACTTCTTCATATTTAGCAGTTGGCATTATTTCTGTAATATTACACTGTTGCAGATAAGACGGTGACAACACAAACAGAACTCACCACAACTCCAAACTGCTCTGGCTCAGACAAATTATTATACTCGCCCTTGAGCTTGGACAATGCATTCAGTTGTTCTTGTTCCGGAAGATGTTTTATTAAATTCTATCGAGTAAAAAACAAAACAAAAAAAAAAAAAGAGAGAGAGAGAAAAAAAGTAGACTTATAAATCTCAGATTCTTCATTTACTGCACAGTTGTACGTAAAGATATTATTTATGTATGATTAACATATACTCCAAAGACAACATTCCTGCCCCAAAGTCTATAGAATGTAAATGTAGAATGTGGAATGTAAAGTAAGAATTCCAAGTGTAATGTTTCCAGTGAAAGGATGTCAGGAATGATTAATATAGACTGCTAAAAACACCTTCAGAAAGATAATGTATTTTCCAGTAATTCAAAACAAAACCAGACTGTTTTGACAACAGGAAAAGTAATACCTATCTCTACAACAGTTTAAATCTGTTAGCTACTATTTCGCCTACAAACGCCTACAGATAGGAATTCAAAGGTGGAACTGGGCTCCAGCTGAATTCACAAGTCCATACGAGGGGCTTGGCCACCTCTATAAGTGAAGGTTTAGTGAACACAGGAAAGGGAGTCTAAAGATGTTGCACTTACCTGATTATTGAAGAGACTTCAAGATTACTTGGAGCTTCTTGAGCACTTAGCAACCTATCTTTTCCTGCATTTAGGCATCCAAATCACACTGCCTATAATCAGCTATCTGTGGCTATTCTGAACAGGTTATTAGAAACAGAGATTCTCAAAACATCTACTTATGGCATATAATTTGATAATCAGCAGCTCATTTCTATCTCTTCCCAGATGATTGCTATAACTACTAGGCAACAGTCAGACTCCCTCTAGCCTGTCCTCTTACTGATCTCACAACTTCTGCCTTCCTGGTTATGCAGAAAATAATCTGTTTTCACTTTAAACTTCTACAGTCTGCTAAGATCATTCTTTTGAAATAGAATAAAGGTTCAGTCCTTCTAACAATGAATAAGGCCTGGAGAACACTGCTTCCACCTATTTTCAAGGAAGGACACCAGAATTTATCATCATTAATAGAAAAGTCAGTGACGTAGCTTAAGCCAAAGTCTATTTATGTACTCTGCAAATAAATAGATAATCTTCAGTATAACCAGCAAAAGAAAACAGGAAATTTATGAAAACAGGTAATTTTCAACAGGAAATTCAGATACTTAGAATATATAAAATAGATCTCTGGGGCCAGACAGATAAAAGTTATAGCTAAGCACTGCTTAACACTTGTCTAATTTAAAAAGATTTCAGCTCTAACTAAATATCCAAAATATATCCTGAGATCAGTAGTGAACTCGGTGGTTATTTGATCTTCAGAACTCACATTATTAGCTAGCGAAAAGCTGGCACTTGTATATTCACGCTGCAAAAGTGCCAACAGATTGCAATATAAATCTTCCTCTCGATAAAAAATGAAAATACTGCATTTGAAACGAAGAATAGACGTCATTAAAAAAAAATTACTTTAATAATTTGTTCAATACGCAATCTCTTAGATCTTCTTACAATCATCAATTTATTTTAGCTCAGTAGTTATAACTCTTAAAATCAAATTAGGATTTCAATTCTTCATACAAAAATTCTTGTTATTTTAAAACAAAACAGTGATGAAGAACTGTCCAGGTGTTTATTACTAAAAGTTTTTTTTTTTATGTAAACTGTTTCTACACTTTTTATAGCTATAATAAGTACTACACAATTTATATTTGATTAACACACTATTAATACTACTACTTTATTAATAAAGTCAGCAAATCAAAAAGGGAAAAGCTAGACTTACGAGCAATGACATAGGCAGACCAAAGGAAGGTTAGAAGATAGCTAAAGAGTAAATAGCTTCAACAGATGGCCCACGTTTGAATAAGAATTTTGGTAGGTAAAAAGAAAAAATGAAACTGTTAAAAATGCATGAAAGATGACGTCCAAAATAATAAAATAAACTTAAATTTTATGGAATTAGACAAGGCCGAACTGACATTCATCATGAAGAATTTATGATAGTAGTCATATATATCTTAATTATTATCACATCTGAAAAAATTTTTTGTAAAAAGGACTAAATTCATTATCTAGAGGTCTCTGGATCTAAATATGTCACATTCAGCTAAAATGAAAGGGCACGGACAGCCAGAGTATAAAAAAAAACACATTTTAAACTGTAACTCATTTATGTTTTAACATACGAAGTACAACAGCCCATGTAACACCCCGTAACCAGCTATTTTTGATATCCTAAATACACTAAAACTGCTGAATTTTTACTAAAGTTTAAATGTTACAGTTTGTTGCTAAAATAATTTGCACACATAGAAAAACTGATCATGAAATTTTTGAAAAACAGAAGCAGTCAAGTGGCTGTCATATGAATGTTTTCCTTAGTGAGCATCAGAAAAAAAAAAGGCAGTAGCTGATATCAAAGTAGCTTTATGGTGTTCAGATAAAGCTTTTGAACTGTTAGAGATGAAATTCATTTTGAATTTCAAACAGAAAATAAGCAGGAGAAAAAATTATAACTGAGTCACAAGAAACAAGAATCAGTCAATGACTCCTTGGACTACAACACGATTACAGGAGCTCTGAGGTCTTTCAGCGCAGACCTAATTCAAAGCAGCAAAAAGGAGAAGATGAGGATAGAGAAAGAGAGAGAGCATGAGAGAGCATACGTATAAATGTATATTTATAAATGCATAAATGATATATTTTAGTTATGTTTCTCAAGCACACTATACAACAAAGGTGCAAGATGAAGGACAAGATTCTAACTTCAGAAACTGGGACATTAAGATACACTGGGAAGGACTCAAAACAAGAAAAATTTTGGTGAAAATGTTGGTGAAATTGCTTATCTGAAAAGAAGCAGCATGGTAACATCTAAAGTACCTCATATAAATCACAGAAGGGTTGAGATTGGATCACCTCCCTTGACCTGCTGGCAACACTCCTGCTGATGCAGGAGGTCAACCCCTAATCTGTACTGGTGCCTGGGGTTATTCCTCCACAGGTGCAGGACACCACACTTGCCCTTGTTGAACCTCATGAGGTTCCTCTCTGCCCAACTCTCTATCCTGTCCAGGCCCCTCTGAATGGCAGAACAGCCCTCGGGAGTGTCGGCCACTCCTCCCAGTTTGGCATCGTCCGCAACCTTGCTGAGGGTGCACTGTGCGCCCTCGTCCAAGTCACTGATGAACAAGTTTAACAGCACCGGGCCCAGTACTGATCCCCAGCAGGCACCACTGACCACAGGCCTCCAACCAGACTCAGCCCCATTTATCGCCACCCTCTGGGCTCTGCCATCCAGCCAGTTCTCGATCCACCTCACTGTCCACTCATCCAACCTACACTTCCTGAGCTTCCCCATGAGGATGTTATGGAAGATGGCGCCAAAAGCCTCCTGAAGTTAAGGCAGACAACATCCATGGCTCTCCCATCCAGCCATCCCATTGCAGAAGGCTATCAGGTTTGTCAAACATGGCTTCCCTTTGGTGAATCCACGCTGACTACTCTTGATCACCCTCTAAAACGCCTAGAGATGGGCTCTAGAATGAGCTGCTCCATCATCTTTCCAGGGATGGAGGTGTGGCTGACTGGCCTTTAGTTTCCCAGCTCCTCCGTCTTGTCCTTTTTCAAGAATGGAGTGATGCTGGCTTTCTTCCAGTCCTCCGGCATCTCACCCGGCCTCCATGACTTCTCAAGATGATGGAGAGCAGCTGAGCAAGAACCCTGGCCAGTTCCCTCAGCACTCCTGGGTGCATCCCATCCAGGCCCCTATACTTATGCATGTCCAAAAAAATGAAAACCGCCATACGCACAGAAAACTATATATGGTTTTGCTCAGGTCAGAATCATGAAACACAACAACCTATAGTTTCATAGGATATCCATAGCCCATACTGGTAAAGACAGAAACAGAGACACAGAGACATATGCTTGAATTTATTTAGTGACAGAAGCATACAAGACAGCTAATGGATTTTTAAAGCAATGAAGCAACTAATTCAATACCTTTCAAAAGAAGACGTGTGTGTTTTTTTCAAGCTTCAGATGGTGCACTTGAAGTAATTACAGGATTGTGTTATCCAGAAACAAGCAACTTAAATGAAGCAATTTCATAGAAATGATTACTCATAAACTTGAGAAATGAATTTGGAAGTCACAAGATCACAGAGTGGTTGAGGCTGGAAGGGACCTGTAGAGATCATCTAGTCCACCTGCCTGCTCAAGCAGGGACACCTAGAGCACGTGGCACAGAGCCACATATGGACGGTTCTGGAAGATCTCCAGAGAAGGAGACTCCACGACCTTTCTGGGCAGCCTGTTCCAGGGCTCCGTCACCCCCACAGGAAAGAAGTTCTTCCTCACATGGAGGTGGAACTTCCCGTGTTTCAGTTTGTACTCATTATCCCTTGTCCTGTCACTGGCCACCACCTAGAAGAAGAGTTTTGCGCCATCCTCCCTACATTCGCTCCTCAGGTACTTATACATATACATACAGGCCCAGCTCGCTTAGTCTTTACTCATACGACAAATGCTGCAGTCCTTTAATCATCTTTGTGGCTCTATGCTGGACCCTCTCTAGAAGCTCCACGTCCCTCTTGTACCGGAGAGCCCAGAACTGCACACAATACTCCAGGTATGGCCTCACCGGAAGTCCTATTAATTTTTTTTTGTGCTTGCAAATACTTTGCACTTTGCAAAAGGTGCAATTTATGCTACTCAAACACTTTTATGCTTAAAAATCTACCATGTGACCCAATAACCTCTAAAAGGATAAAGAAGGTAAACAATCAAATTGAAGTGATTTTTTTTTCCTCTCAGCTTTTTGCGATTGGTGTTCATGCCATAAGTTCACATAATATACTCTCATTAATTAATTAAATACTAATGGCTTGACGATAGTTTCCCCAGGGCCTAAAAAAAGTCAAAAATGTTTTGTCGTCTTAAAATTGCTGCCATCAAGTCACTCAGTTCACATAATATTATTGATATATAGTATCTATATACAGGTCAGTTAATAACACTATTGATGAGCTAATATTCTTAACATGTTAACACTGTTAAAGTTTTACTTTTGGAAAGTAGAGCTAATGTCAAACAGCATGATAGTTTTAGAGGAAGCATGGACTATGAGAGAGTTTAAGTTGTACATATGCATAGCATATTCCAGCTCTCAGCTTGTCATGTGTCTATATATTATATATATAGAACAGCTATATAATAGCTGTTTCAGCTATTATTCAAAAAAGATATAATACACACGACTTATGAACATGAAGAAAACCTTGAATACTTGATGTGAGCACAAATGAGCACAAACAGCTCAGAGATGTAAACTCTGTTAATTTAATAACCTTTAAGCAATGGAGAGTTTCAATGCCAGTATTAGCTGCTTCACTGAAGAAAATGAAAATAATTAGACAAAGATTATGTGTACAGTCACTGGAGATAATGGCTTAAGTTGGTTCTTCAAATTTTTTTTAAGACCAATATCTCATTCCATAAATCAATCTGTGGATAAGCTCCCTTTAAAGGAAAATGAAGTTCAAACCACTCAAAGGAATCCAAAGATCTTTTGAAACCTCAATGCACAGGAGTGAGGCCATTAGTGCAGACCGGAAAAAAAGGAATGTACTGAACACTGTATGGTCTCCTCAGCAGGATCTCATTTTTAATACTGAGGACAGCTATTTTTTTTAGACAAAGCATGTAAAACTAAATCTGTCCCTTTTTTTTTTTTTTTTATTCTTTTTGTGGGGGGGTGCTTTGACCTTTGAAAACAAATTGCAATACGTTGCAGTCTAAGTCATACATTTGAATCTTGGAGACACTTAATATTATGAGTCATTTTACAACTCTATTACCTCTCTTTACTAATCAACATTCATGCAAATAGTTTGTGTTCCTAAAAAATGACTTTTAGTTTTCTTTGATGTTTCAGTTAAGATTGCTACCCATTTGCCCAACACATTTTTATGTATATTTTAGAGGTCAATTACATAAATCCTCTTTAAGTAAAATCTAAGTTACATTACTAATACATTGGTAAACTTGATGTTTATAAGCAGTAGCAGCAAAAATCTGAGGCTCATCTAGGAATCCTGACCAAAAGACAGCATGGGGCAAGCTGCAGAAATGGATATTCCAATTGGATAACAGGAAAAGGTTTTCCCCATGAAATTCAAAACTAGAAAATATGTTCAGGGAGACTCTGGAATTTATGACCGTGGTGTTATTCAAAGCTTAATGGACAAGGACTTAAGCAAATGGACAAGGACCTAAGCAACTGGACTCAGAAGACTTCCAACTATCCCTTCCAACTTAATTTTTTCTATGATTCTGTGATGAAATATTTGTAGTAAGACTAGATCCACCAAGCTATTTCAATCTTGCCTATAGAAGAACAGAAGAACATCAGGATCCTTTAGTAACTTTTTGTCTACACAGAATAACACTGTTTTTGTACTGTTTTTATTCATAATAATTATTAGCTTTGCAATTGTAAATATATGCAAATGTAAAAAGAATCAGAGTTCACAGAAAAAATAAAACTGTTGCAGTGAGTCACTAGTCAAAAAAAAAAAAAAAGAATGTTAACAAGTTTAAAGAGCCATTTATCCTGAAATATTGGAATTTAATCTGTCAATTTTCTTACCTGAATCATGGACTCTGCCAGCTGTGTTTCATCTACTTCCAATATCATCGTTTTGATTTCCTCATAAGACATTCGGAAAGAGCCAAGGAAAATTGCTAAAACAAAGATTGAACACATAATGAAGAGAAGACAACAATCAATCCTTTTTTTTTTTAATCTGCAAAACACAAATTAAACAAGCTATATCATCTACAGATCAAACATTGCACAAGGTAATACAGAAAAGACATAACAATTTTATATACTCAATTACTTTTCTCCTCCTGTTCCAGTCTCCTCCATCCATTTGTCATAGACAAACATTCAGTACCAAAGACCATGATCAGCAGTCAAAGTCCTTCTCTGCAGGATATACTGCTGCTATATTATTTTGCTCTGAGATGATACTTACTTATTTTTACTTTATGGTTTTGGCTAGTGCTTTCTCACAAAAAACAAACAAACAAACAAACAAAACACCGCACCTTGAGAAAATAGCACTACCAAACCATGGAAATATTTTTAAAAAGCTCTTTTAATAACTGCTTATGATATCTAGGCTATAATCTAGCAATTTCCTATTTTGTTTCTGACTGCAGTTAGCAAACTATTTTTTTAATGGAATTCATCTCCCCAAAGCCTTCAGTATGGTTATTTGTATATTACCATATACTATAAATTAAATCCCTCATTTACGACTGAAATTATTAACTGCTCTTAAGCATACATCTCAGTTGTACTTCCTATGCACATGCATGTATTCTCATACCTGCTTTAGATAAAATGCTGTTACAATGTAGTCAGACAAGGAAGAAAGAAAAAAAAAACATAGGAACATTAAGGGCACATGAACTTGTCAAAGCAAAATAAACTTACACAGATTCTGTGCAATCTTTGGGTCCAAAACTTTCAATTCTTTGATTCGTTTCTTAATGGATTTCTTTTCTTCAAAATCATCTTCCTCTTTTTTTACTAGAATACAAGAACACTCACTATTAAACCTTAATACATGGAGAAAATATTTATGAATGCAGGAAACATTTGCTACCAACTGTAGACAATTCACAAAGAAAAGATCCAATTACAGAATGCACAGACAAAAAATATACAGTGGTTTTGCATATATTCCTTATGTTTGCCTCAAAACTTTTGCTCTTCAGCCAAATTTAATGTTAGCCTTATGGAACAATTTTGCTTCCTTTTTTTTTTTTGGGGGGGGGGGGGTTATTTTAGCCATTTTATTTGTAGCAATAATTATTTTTGGGGTTTTGGTTCCTAATGAATAGGCGGCATAATCTCAGGTGATAAAACTCACATGTCTAATATACCAAGCAGGGGGAGGTGGAGAGGGAACCTTAGAATCTAAGCGAGCATATACTTACTACTTACTTCCCTTAACAACTCCAAAGAGATTTATTTTTAAATACATAATGCAATCATCTTTGTTATAAAAATTACAAAAAATATGGTTGTAGAAATGTATGTTGATCTTGAAGGATGTAAAGTCATAGAAATTTTGTTTTTTTCTTCCTTTTCAGAAAAAAAGTTCAGGCAAATAGAATTTCCTAAATTTCCCAAACACAAGATAAATTTATTTTTCATTATTTATGCATTGGCATAAGAATTTTGCTCAAAATAACAGCATACAATTGATGTTTATTGCAAAGAAAAAAATCTATTTTTGCATAATAGCTAGAATATATAGATAAATAAAATCATCAAAATGCAAAACCTTAAAAGAAATTTCTTTAAATTTAACCTGGTCTTCTTTTCTAATTCGGCACAAATCTTTACTGTTATATCCTCCTATCACTCATTAATTCTATGCACTATTTCACATCTGAAGTTAGGTTCCAACTTTTTACAACATGATTGTCTCAAATTAATACATTTTTCACCCCTCAAATATTTGAAAGTAGAAAATATGTTGCAGTAAAAGTATAAATTACTCACTTCAGGACGAGATGGATATAAATGAGAAGTCTAGTCTAGCACACACAGAAACCTAACTATTATTCTTTTCAGAATAGTCATGAAACTTGCCCTATTAATTTACAGAATGCTTTTGTCTAAACATAATAAAACCTTCTCAGGATAGGGAGACACATTAAGTGACCTCTTGATGTCTTTGAGCCTTTGTTTTTTTTAATGATACTATAGAAATGGCAAGAAATTAAAGACATGGGGACTGGAGGGGCTCCTGATATGGTGGAGAAAAATTTGAATCCTTGTACACATCCCCTTTTAGACTTTTCTTCTGAAGAGAGACCGCAGTGCTTGAGAGAATCCCCTATTCTGAAAGATGCAGAAGACCAATAACCAGGAGGGATATCCACACAACTAGGTTAAAACCACAATCCTCCTCTTCTCTTTGTTTTCACATTTTTTGAATGTTGTTAGCCTTGAATGTCTTTTAGCACAGATTTAATCGCGCACAGTTTGCCTACTACACCTGTAAGAGCAAAAGTAGAAGATCTGGACCACCAACCCGATAGATACGCGTGTTTGAAAAGCACAGGACAATATTAGAGCTATCAAGAGGCTAGAGAGGAGGCTACCATCAAAGCTTTACTTTTGTAAAGCCTGTAGATCTACAGCAAGATACAGACAGCTCTCTGAAGCTCAGTTATATCCGTGCCATCTTTATGTCGTACTGATTTAAGCTGTGATGAAGACACACTAATGCTTTGGGCCTATTTTAGAACACAACAGATCATTTGATAGGGAAAAAAAAAGATTTCCCTAACAGTCACTAATAAAAGTGAATTTATCTGAATTTAATTTTGACTTAGTGACAGCCTTGAACTAGATGCTAATTGGTACTAAAATACAAAAACTACAAATACATTCACTTTTCCAGCGCTAGGAAGCAACGTCTATGCATTAAAGTCTCATAACACAGATTAATACACAGATTAATTAATAGACAAGCAGCTATTGCTTGCTCTAGGAGCCCACACAAGAATTGCATGCAGAGTTATACAACTACACAACGAACTAAACTACTGCAAACTTACATGATACTTCATCAGGAGAACTCAGGTCACATCCTTATGTAGTTGGCAGTAGAAAGAAGCAAAGGATAATTAATATTATATGTCTTCCCTGCAAGAAATGTTGCACTCTCTAATGAAAACTCTGATATCTACTATTGCCACAAGACTTTTTTTTTTTTTTTTTTTTTTACCTAAACTGTGTATTGGCTTGCACGGGAGCAATAAAGAGAGTCACAAAACTGTTATCTACTTCTAATAAGAGGAGGGGAAGAAAAAAAAAAAAAAAGAGAGAGAGAAATGTCCACTGGAAAAAACAGAAAAGAGTTACACAGAAAGGACTGCACAGGTGAAATGAACTGATTTTTTAATTATTTTTTAGATTAGCCTTTTGCTACTGCCACAACTGCAAAGTAAAAGACAAGCTTTACCTAAGAATTTTAAACCTATGTACGTTTTCAGGTGAACATGATACTGGGTCAACAAGATGATATAAAGTGAGAAGTCTCTTCAGGCAAATTTAATAGGAATATATATATACACGTTATATATATATATATATTTAATTTTTATGGTTTGTGCACCTTTAAAGTAATCACAGAACACTTTAGCATTTCATCTTTACGAACAAGACGGGTTCCTTGGCACAGAGCACGGCAGAACAGAGCGGTCAGGGAGATGGGAAACGGCCTCTCTACAAACCGACCAGCCAGGTTTAAGGTGGCATCAACACAAATGATTTTGGCCACAGCGACCCTTTCTGTCTCTTAGCAGTCTGTCCTCCCCAAAAGAGTCAGATTAGATTACATTTCAAATATATCAAAAAGCTTTCATGCTCACTTGTATTTTATATCTCTCTACATATTCAGAACTTGAAAGGCAACGTGAAGCTGTTATAGGAGGAACATGTATAATGTTTCACAGTTTTAGCTGTCAGCTTGGAAACTGAGAAAGTTACTATTACTTTACATTAAGTTTGACTGCAGCTACTAAGAAAATATGGGCACTTGTCATTCTCTATCTTCACTATGATACATCCATGGAAAATACAACCGTGCTGATGCATTTTGGACTTCTGTTCTTTTTTGGCAATTTCCCCTCAGTTGTAATGTGTATTTTCAAAACACTGATTGAATTCTTATATTTTAATGTTAGCCTTCTGAGCAATTTGTATGAGATTTTTCTTCTTTACCTATCCCAGACACATGCTAAATCATGTACACATGCACCATCCTTTGCATAACTTGTTTTTTGACAGCACTGCTATTGATTTGACTCAATTCATACAGAAAACATAACTCAGTCAAAAATATAGGACTTTATTTCAAGTAATTGCTAAGAGCTACATAAGAAAAGACACCACATACAACACCAAGAGTAGTAACCACCTGGTATTTTTTCTCTGACACAGGCTAATGCAAGGCAATTTTTTAAAGTGACTCACGCCTCTATAATGAGCTATTAAATGCACTGAAGGACTTCCTTTATAGATGTTTTCATGGATAATACTTATTCTTCCTACCTCTATAAAAAATATAAAAATACAGTTTGAAACATCATTGCAGATGATTTTAGCATCTAGCACCTTATATATTGCTTAATGCAGTATATAAATGAATTTTCTATATGTACACTCACGTTAAATGCATAAAAGCAAGCACTTAAGCTAAGAATCTTTAGAGCTCCTAGCAGCTAGTTAAGTGCCCTACTGAAATAATGTACAATCAAAACACGAGTAAGTCAGTAGGCCGAGATTAAAAAAATAATAATAATAAAAAAAAAGCTTTTACAAACAAACAGGTAATTAAGATGAGCATATAAGGACCCTGTTTGTAAGAAGACAGCGATAACTGACATAGGGTGACGGATCATGCAACAGCTTTAACTCATTTTCCTTTTTTTTTTCCAACAATGACTACCAGCATTTACAGTTAAAATTATACAGTACTGCATTTGGAAAAATTAGCCAAATAGCTTAACTAAGTCATTTTGCAGTATTTTTCTACAGTAGAAGTAAAAATTGAGATGCTATCATACTAACCAATGTTAGTTCATCCATTAACTGATGTCACTAAACTTATTCCTGAATTTTTAATACTGGGTAATAGAATACTGAAATGAAATTTAGCTCCGGAATTATATTTCTCAAGAAGTAACTATCTAAAATAGGAATATGGTGATACATCTTAAAAGACTCCTCTTCTCAGAGTCTGAACAAACACTTTGGCTCCCACCCTAGAACGGAAGGTTTTAACCAAGACTGATTCAACTACTTTTGGGAAGGGCAAGTTCTAAATTCTGTAAAGATTTAAGACATCACTTATTTTCTTGAGAGAGGGGAAAAGAAAAGGCAAATAGAGATTACCTTCTGCTACACTGTAGTTTGCTGGAAAGAGAGAAGTAGATGGAAAGATAGATTGAGATATACTGGTGAATCCAGTAGCAAAGTTATTTAGTGTCCCGTTACAACAGACCTTAAATTTCAGATATTCCCCTTATAAGGTATATTCCTACCATCAAGCTGCTGGCCTTAAAAATATTGACCCACCACCAGCTATCAAAAGCAGAACAGCAGGTCTAGTTGTGCTTGAGAGGTGAACACTGTTGCGCTCCTTGCATCAACCAAGTTGCTTATTACCCCATGAAACAGAAAGACGACTGTTGAAAGCCATATTGTATAAAGAAATACCTATTTTTATTTGTTATTATCTTGTTATATCGCTGCTTTACTAGAGAGGGAGAGCAAGGCCACAGAAAATATGCAGGAGATAAGCACAACACAAACTTACGCAGTAAAAACATGGGGTTTTTTTTTGTTTGTTTGTTTTCTAACAGTTCCCCAAATCCTATTTGTCTTTAACCGCTACTGAAAAAGAAGACTAAGAGTATATCATTTATTTGCTCAATAATTCTACACTTCATTAATAATTTTTCTACAATGAATCTGGCACAAATGTCACATTACTATTTTGTCGGTCC